GAGGGAGGGAGAGAGAGAGAGAGGGCTTCCAGCTGGGGGAGCGAGAGAGAAGCGGGGGAGGGCTTTCGGGCCGGGGGGAAAGATGGGCAAGGAGGGGTTTCGGGCATTTCAGGCCATTTTTTAGCTGAACTGTTAAAAGCCTGACCTGTCTTTTCTTTGGATCCTGCCCGAAGCCCCTATTTCACACTAAATGGGCCTGAATTCTTGGCCTGGCCCAAAATCCTGAGGCCTGGCCCAGTACATTGGCAGTCTAGTTAGGATAGCTGTTTTGCTTGGTTGTCGAAGGTTTGGATAGGTATGGCTAGGGTTTGTGGATGGTTTGAGTGGACGGTTGTACTTTGTCATGGGGAATCTTAGATGGGGATGTGCTACTCAAGAGGGGGAAGAAGAAAAGGTCCCAAGTTTGCATAGGGAAAAACTCCAATCCACAAACTAGGGTTTGGGGAAATCTCTTCGGTTCAAGAAGAAAAGGGGCTCTCACCTTTGGCGAGACTTTTCTAAACCTGGGCTAAAGTTGTAGAATTATATTCACTACAAAAATAGTCAAGGAATCTCTCTCTAAAGGTGGCCTTTCATCACAATTGGAATCTAAATTTGATTAACTCCACTTGAATTAATTTGCCATAGGCCCACAATAGGGTTTGAATCCGTCTTTATTTGACTTAGCTTAGAGTTCAGTCTGTCTCTACTTTCCTAAACTTCCTAATCTTCTACCTTGGAATTAAGTATAACTAGTTCTTTTATAGTTTTAGGGAAGTAAGAACTTACAATACATCGAAAGAGTCTTTCAGGACTCTCAAACAATATTGAAAATCAACTTTCCAAACAATGAAACAAGCAAATCACTAAAATTTTACAGACTTGACTATCTACTCTATGGAGCTCACAATCTTGTAGAAGATTGATTTATCTATAACTTTGCCTAGGTTTCCTACCTAGGGTTTCTTGGACTTAACAATGGAAACAAAGGAGCCTAACATACTATGGTTAATAATATTCATCTCTAATTTTTCCAGGGAGGCTATCTACCATGATTCGAACGCCCAACTTATGAAAAACCCGTCGAGATAAGGATTGTATTTCTCGAAGAGATTTTTGATTTAAGCTCTGGATAATGGACACTTGGGTGAAAAGTTCTGTATTGATGAAAGATATGATTCCAGATACCATTTTTTCTAATCGATGATCTGCACTTCTGATCTTAGAAAGACAAAAACATTCTCGCCATGTCGATGTGTGAATTGTGCCGCACTTTTGCTCCATTAAATTTTTGTTGTACTTTTATATAATGATATACGAGAAAATATTCAATGTGAAGAGTAAAACAAAGTACCAAAACTATACATCACCTTTTCCAAACAAAAAAGAAAAAAAGAAAAGAAAAAGAAAAAGAAAAGTAGCACAATTGACATCATCCCAGCAGTCAGGTGTCAAATAGTGTTGGACAGCTGTGTGTGTGTTCCTTGCTCAAAGTCCATCCAAAGTTTTTGATGCTAATAAAATCATATAATTTTTTGAATTCCAAAGTTTTTGATGCTAATAAAATCATATAATTTTTTGAATTGTATTATATGTCTCGCACTTCTTGGCATTTCACTTTGTATTATTTGAAAGAAGTGCTACTTATGCAAAGAAAATTGAAATAACATCTTGATAAACTTATATTAAATATATTTTAACTAGAAATTTTATTTATTTATAAAAGTTTGATAAAAAGTATAACTTTAATTAAGTTTATATGACTTTCATTCCTTATTATTTTTTGTGTGGCTATATATTATTTATTTTTATATAACAAGCTTTTTCAGATGTTTTGGCATTGGAAATTTCCAAACTGCCTTGTCAGACACTCCAGATATGAGTGGACATGGATCCACATGTCTACGATCACTTGACATTCCTGGGGTTGATTGATGCTGATTTTTGTGCAATATTTTGTATGCATTATGTGTTACCTTGATAAATATGGTCGCACTTTTTTATTATGCTGTCTGTATTGCCTCTTGGTGAGACCTGAACCATGGAAATCATTTATGAACACTGATGGGACTTTGCTCGTAAAGGTACTCTGAAACAATTGTGAAATTTCCTTATATGTCACTTAGTTTCCTATCTTCACCTTGTATTTCAAATAAATTGCCTCCCTTCATCTTCAGTGTAGGAGTTTATTGAAGAATCCATTAAGCGGAGGTTCTAATATTATTTTTGTTCTACTTTTGTCGTAGCATTTTTTGTTCAATTATTATTTTTTCTGAAGCTCTTGTGAGCATGTTTGCTCCATTATTTCTCATGTTTCTTTGCTGATTGGTCCTGTATTTTGTATCCATTTCAGCTCATCTGGCAAGATAATATCGACCCGGACAATATGACATATGAGGTTAGCAACAAATCTTTATTACCTTGTCAATAGTGCCTTAAAGTATGAAGAGCTATTCATTGTAATGACTATTTTGTGCATATATATATATATATATATATATATATATATATTTTGCTACAGAATGCAATACTTCAAATTAGTGAAAATTCTAGAATGAACACTAACATGAAGATGTTTTTGCAAAAGAGCCACTATAATAAGCATTCTATGCAGACTACAAACCTCCCTGCCCCATGAGCTTCTAACCCCTCACTCTGGTATTTGTTCCCTCTTCTTATAACTGCAAAATCGTGCGGTGGCCAAAATGCACTCACCAATGGACAGAAGTTTCTATGACCCTTTAATCAGTGGTGGATTGGAGTAGGTCTACACTCGCTGTATTGCGTTATCAGTAGCTGTCTAGCGGGAACTGGATCCAATTCCATGGATTTGGAGGGCTGTCCCTCCAACTCCTCCCAGATGTCATCTTGGATGACTTCCATAAAAATCATATTCGCGGCTTCGGTAGCTTCGGTAATGGTCCCAAGAGCAAGTCCTACAGCCCATGAAAGATCACCATAACAAACCAGTTTTATTAGGGCTAAAAGGAGGGACCTCCCCCCCCCCCTCCCCCAAAAAGAACGAATAGGACTCCTAAGGCTATGGCTTGGTGGTTGAGACTTCCATGATTTTGCTCTGCACCATGTAGGGCCCTTGATTTAGGTCATATCCAGTTGACATTCTTCCATGAGCTCTAGGATCTAGTCAAGCAGGTCCTATGCAGGCACTGCAGAAGTTCTATTGCACTGTTTCGACAAAGAAAGGAGTGAATGAGACTTTTATTAAGTTAAGATCATGAATGTGATGGAGAAGGTTAATGACTGCAATCATTTATCAAAAAGTATGAAATGGAAAATATTAAAGATTACCTTTCTGTTACCCTATTGAGTGATGTGTACGGTATCCTGGCTAAAGTTCTCTTCCAGCAAGAAGCACTTGCTGGAGTTTGTTGACAAAAGTCTCTTTGTCAAGGTTTACTAGAGCTTCAACGCCATCCTTATTGCCCATGAGTTTCTAGTCTTGAAAAGGAACCCCAAGATGTTGTGTAGTTAATATAGAGAAAATGTATGATGATGTAGATTGAGGTTAATCTACGACACATGGATAGTTGGGACACGAGCAGGGACTGTCTTGTGTACTTGGCCTATGTTCTCAATTATTGTGAACAATTCACCAAACACATTTTTGGTTGCTTGAGGGTAAGGCTTCTTGGGAGGGGTGATGATTTAGAGAGGGTGGTTAGCGATTTATGCAACAAACGATCGAAGGTGCCTGCAAATCTTTTGTAGACTCATGGCAAAAATAAAGGCAAACCAATATGATGCCAAGATATTTGCTGTCAAGTTAAAGGTCATGGTGGAGTGTCTGGAAAAGAAAGTGAGGCTATCTGTGCTCCAATAGTTTTTTTATAAGCCTATGAAGAACACGACAAGGGGGATAATCTGAACAAGACTCTCCTCTTTCCTTCATTATCTTCCTCAATCTTCCTTTCTTCCCTCTCTCTCTTCTTTTCATGTCTAACTCGACACTCTTGCTCCATATCTCCTAATCCACAATTTGGTTTGCGCTGATTTACTTCATTCTTCTCTCTCTTCTCTCAATCAAGTCCTGCCCCAGTTTTTGGGCTCTCTACTTTCTTCTCCCTCTCTCTGTAACTTTTTTTTAAAGAGAACAAAATGGAGTAATCGGTGGTTTTTCCCTAACTTCATGTTGGTCATTCCCCTCTCAATTAAGACCAGTTCCCTGATTTGGGTAAAATTTGGCATTTGGCAAAATATGCGGTCTTACCACCCACCATTAGTATATCTCTATATGGAGAGAATAACTGCTGGCTTTGGTTTCCTTTCTTCTTTTTCTTCCCTCTTTGTCTTTGCTTTTTTCTTTGAGGTTATCAGATGCGACTAGGTCACTGATTACTCACTTTGCCCTTGATATACAGGGCCTGGTCAAGCTGTAAATTTGTATTCAACTTCTTATTTTCTAAAATAATGATAACATGTTCAAGGCATTTCTACTCTCTTTCTCTCTCTTGCAGTAGCCCTTGATATATACAGAGGCTGTTGAGACTCTAAATTCTCAACTTCTTGAGTTATGATATGTATTCAAAAGTTTGGTAGTCTTTCTCTCGCTCTCTGATTCTCTCTTTTTATCTCTTTTCTATTCTACTGTAAAGAGAATCTGGGTGTTGCTCCATATCCCATAAAATTAATTATATTTCTGATCAATTACATAACAGCTTCTGTACCTGTGAACCACAAAGGGTTCATGGTATTCGAAAAAATGTAGTGTATTTTCACCTTCTTAAACCTCAGGAGAGAGAATACTATACAAGGTCGAAGAGAGAGAAAAGGGGGGAGGTTTAGGTCTATGACTTCCCTTCCCCTGCCATTTGTATTTCCTTAATTAATTTCAAATAGGGATACTGGCTGCCTAGGTTCCCCATTTTTCACTTGAGCTCTATCCACATTTGATTTAATGAAAGTTGGATAGACTAGAGTGAGCAATCATGCAGTGTGCTCCCTCAGCAGTGCGCTCATTCACGTGCTTTCCTTCATATATCAGAGAAAATATTTTACGAAATAAGGTCTGGCTGTTTTGCTACTATGCTGTCAGATCCTTTTCCTTTGCCATATCATTTTTGAAACGAAGCTGGTTTATATCTCTTAAAATTCTTTTTTCTTATGAAGGACTTCCCTGGCTTAAGTTTCCTATGATGCTTTGTCATATTTACAGGAATTGGTGGAGCTCGGTGAGACGGTTGGCACACATAGCAGAGGTCTTCCTCAAGAGCTGATTGCATCCCTTCCAGTCTCAAAGTACAAATGCTGCTTTTTCTCGAGAAGAAAGACACGAGACGAAAGGTAATGAGTCAAGTTCTTTGAAATCCTTGTACTTTGCCAAGTTACTTTTTTTGTTTTTTATTTTTTATTTTTTATTTGCTATGCTTATGTTGTGGTCACACATTGGGCTGGGGGGGTGGAAGAGGGAGAGGGCTTATGATCTGTTTAGTTCTTCTCTTGCTATTGAGGCACTTTATGATGAAGTTTTGGTTGGAAGGTGTGTGATTTGCCAAATGGAGTATAAGAGAGGCGACCGTCGGATGATGCTGCCATGCAAGCACCTCTACCATGCGAGCTGTGTAACCAGGTGGCTAAGCATCAATAAGGTATGTTAAATTATTTCCCCTCTGCTTTTGTGTATATGCGTGTGTATAGTTTTTTCACTTAGATACATACATGTTCACACATATAACATATATTATTTGGAATTCGCCAACATGTACCACACTCTGAATTTTAACATACCAGGAATTTGGACATCGTCCGTTCTAGCAGGCTAAAATTTATGGGCATTATTTTATCATTTGCATGGCCGAATGGAAACTTGGGTAGATCTAGGGTATTTGTTTCTGGGGCATTTTGACAAAATTCATACAAGTAGACATGTTAACAAAACCCTAACAGTTTATAAGTGTACTATAATTCAATGGCTGTGGAGAAACTAGTATATTTATTATTGGGTCATCACCATCAACTGAAATTATGGATGGTAATGGAGATCCACACCGCTGTCATGTGTTAGCAATGTACTATAATTCAATTGGCTATGGAGAAACCACATTATTTTTGGGTCTTCAACATCCAATGAAATGGTGGATGGCGATGGGGAGACTGGGGCCAGTTTTGGGGCCACTCTTTTTCATCAGTCTCTATCATTTAATTGAGCAAGTTCCCTCATAGCCTGATGTGCACATTGATTAGAGTATGCAAGTTCCCTCCTAGCCCCATGTGCAAATCAAATGGAGTCCTCTTATAGTAGGTTAATCCAACTTGAACACCATGAATACTTGATGCTGCCACAATAGACTCCTTCTTAAGACCTCAAAATGACCAAAGTACCTGTACCCACCCGTAATTAGACGTTTGCATTTAGACGGTGTAATGTGGTAATTTGCTAGGCTATGGCATTGTTTGGTAGTACTAGACAAATGATCTCATTGTTATTGTAAATTTCTATTGATCTCTCCCTTATTTACCTATCATGTTTCACTGTTTGTTTCTTTTTGTTCTTTGTTGTCTTTAGGCATGCCCTGTGTGCTATGTCGAAGTGTTTGGGGAGGAAAGGGGCGATAAATGAATGAAGTGAGCTTTGGTTTTGATTACGGTCTGTACCACGAGTTTCTGAGGTGTGTTTTTGACCCCATGAACTTGTTTTTCTTTCTCTTTGTGCATTGTGTGATGATGCCATTCATTTTCCCTCTCCCAATTTGTGCTGTTTTCTTCTAATGCTGGTGTTGGACCTTGTTGGGAAACTTTGTTGGTTTACTGGCATATATAATAATAACAACACTATTGAATAATTTTGGGTTGTTCATCTGAAGAGTATTTCAAAAATTGACATGAGGTTTCTCTTGGGGGGGGGTTTGAGGTGGTATGTATGAGTTAGTTATCATTTTGTATGGCGTTTTGTGTATCACATGGAACAATTATGTAGAATAATTTGGTTTGGGAGTGGTTTCTTTGAAGACTGAGATTTTGAACACAGCTATGTACACTGGTATGATAATATTGAGCAATTTCATTGCAAAAAACAAAAGCACAGGAAGTTTAATCCTTTTTTATTTTTTTTGGGTTATATGAATGCATACGAGTATTTAGGCTGATAGAGGACAGTGTTCGGGCCGTGCCGAGCCGTTACTATAAAAAAAAATTATGAAGTAAATGTAGTAATTATATTTTTTATTTCTATTTTAATACATATTGATAAAAGATTTTCAGGCCTGGTCATTACTGGCCTGGGCATGGCCCAAATATTATTTGCCTTTAAAATCAAATGTAAAATTCTCTCTTCAAGACAGCATGATGAGAGAGTGAAAGAGAGAGAGAAGGGGGGGGGGAAATAGTGGGGCCTCAGTTTTTTCTCCCGTATAGTTTCAATTAGAGTGGATAAGAGCAGGCCTTTTCTCTTGACTGGTTGCGCTTATGTTCACATTTCATAATTATTGCACAAGAAGCTATTCATTAGTGGATAAGAGCAGGCATTTTCTCTTGACTGGTTTTGCTTGTGTTCAAATTTCGGAATTATTGTACAAGGTCTGGATACTTTCCCTACGTTAAGCTACTACCTTGGGGAAAGGTACAGTGCAATCCACCATGATCACTGACGATATATAGTCAAGTGGATTGTCACTGCCAATAATCAATGGACGTGTAGACTATACTCCCATGGGAGCCTATTCTATATACTTATTTTTCCAGGCAGGCATTCGACTTGGGAGGAGTTTTCTGATCTGTAATTTTGGGTGTCACATACAAATCAGTTGTTGATTATATAAAAATAAAAACTTTACCTGTAGATGGTTTCTATTCAATCTTGAGGCACTTTTTTCAAGCTATAGAGAATACAGTTTGGAAATTTTTTTTATCGAGTATAACACATGTATTGAAGAGGTTGCATTCCTAAAGTCTGAGCCCTAACATATTCCTGGGTTGGGTTTTGCTCGAGGGGAGTAAACGGACTGCATGACTTGGAAGCTTGAAATCTTTTGGCGTAATTGAATAAGTTTTGATAGTATAAGGGAAAGTGAGTGACTAATTTATTTCCAGAGGTATTCAGTTCCTTCTATTTTACTGTTTAATGTATGAATAACGTTTCGATGAGTCTGCTGACTCATTTATTTCCAATGCTCCGCCCTCCAAAATCCATTTCGACAATGGTGAAATGTTGAACATGAATGTTAAAAAAAAAAAAAAAATCTTAAAAAGAAAAAAAATATTTTTTTGACTATTTTAACACCTACAATTTTAAATTTTGCTGGGACTTCCATATTTTCACATCCACCTTTAAGATGGACATTGATGCTGCATGGTATGCTGCCCCTTTATATATATATTTGTTATTATTTTCTATCGTCAGTATTTGTTCTCTCCAATATCTTATGTACGGTTTAGTAAATTTGGTCCGGTGAATAAGCCCTCACGTCTGGTCAGGATGTACCTAGTCGATGATCCAACAAAAATTTAAAATTGAAAGACAATGAAATCAAAAGAAAAAAGTTTATATATGTATTGAGGCTCTAAACAATCAAATTAGTGAGCACTTTAGAAATTTCACTAGAAGAGGTTGTTTTGGTGCCCAAATATCTTTAAATTGATCATTTCAACCTCAAGATGCATGGACATGAGAAAAAAATAGATTTCAAGTTTTGGAAATAAGGCATCTTGTAATGCAGTTTTGTACCGTCAATTTTCAAAATTTTCAAGTTTTTATAGATCTGTTCGATCTACACTATTTTTGAAACCTTAAGTTTTATAGTTAGAGATGAAAATATAATTTAAAGCAATCACAAAGATTTTCAGTATTGAAATCATATTTCTTGATACTATTTGAAGGTACGTTTGATTTTGATTGTTTAGAGCCTCGGCTTTATACAAATTACACCCAAATTTATTTTACAGAGAGCCATCCTGCTTATGATTAGATCATAAAAATTAAGAAATATTAATCGTTTGTTATGGGACAAGATTAGAGAGATTAGGGTCAATTCTCTATTCGAGGTGGTCGGACTCAAATCCTGAGCTGGATCTAATCCAGATTGATGGTTATTGAAACCGTAATATGGTTAGGGCAAGGAGCCAAGGATTCCTAAGCATGAAAACAGGCGCTGTGGGACCTAGTGGTAGGCATCCAGTGTAGGTGAGGCGAGAGGACACAAGGGTTGGACCCTATAAACGAGGTCTAACCCAAACCGCGTTTACCAACCCGCCTCCTTTTTCCAGCCCATCAACCTACCCAAAGAAGCGGTGATGAGATTTGAGTTTAGCCCGACTTCCATAAGTCTTAAAAATTTGACAGGTTCGTTGAAGTTCCTTGGCAGGCCTGAAGAGTCTTCGTTAGTTTGGGTCACTGATATGAGGGAGATTCATTTTACTGTAGAGGGAGAGCGGTGGCAATGGGCTGGGTGGCCCGTTTCGGCCAGATTAGCCCTTTCATAAAAAAATGTGGTATGAGGGCCAGGCAACCATTATCCAAGGTTAGGGCACGACCAAGATTGGCCCACCCTTTTTTTCTTTATTTTCTCCCTTCTATTCTTTTTTTTTTTTTGATTTGGCCCTGGTAGAGGTTAGGGCACGACCAAGATTGGCCCACCCTTTTTTTCTTTATTTTCTCCCTTCTATTCTTCTTTTTTTTTTTGATTTGGCCCTGGTAGGGCTGGGGCTGGGGCCGGGGCCGGGGCAGGGGCCGGGGCCGGTCCGGGCTGGGCCGGGCCGGCCCGGGTTTGGGTTAGGCCTAGCACTGCCCAGGCCCTGCTTGTTTCTAACCCTAGAGAGAGATTCCATTTTACTGCTGTTGCATGTATATATAGTTCTAATGTGTCTTTTATACCATAATTTTGTTTAGTATTAGTAATTTTTCCTCTCTTTTAAAAGGAAATTAACGTAAATTTTCTTTGATATTTGATGTACTTAACAAGTTCTCTTATTTATTTTGTCGTGATATTCATTTTCTTGCACATTTTAATTTGGGATTGTCTACGAAGAGACCATTGATCAACTATTCTCATTCATTATATGTCAAATTGGATGGCTTGGGGTGAATCACGAAGTCCAATATTGTTTTTTTTTTTTTTTTGGAGCTTTCTGTTTATTCAATGACACTTTTAGAACCACCCATTTTAAAAATTAAAGGACAAGAATGATTGTGATCTTCTTGTACAAGTTGTATCTACTCCCATTAAGAAAAAGTATGTCCAAATGTTCTTACTTTGAAAAACACCCAAGATACAACTTCCTTTCCTTTTTTTTATTTTTTGAATTTTTGAATTTTATCGCAACATTGATAAGCTTCAAAAGTTATATCCTCTTTTCTAGAATTTCTAGAGTGAACCAAAAACTAATTTTCCCTATAAATCGTCTTCAGGTGAAATTTCAGAAATAAGGTTATCACTACACGATTCACCTATTATTTGGCTTAATGTCCTGCCCCTTCGTGTTAAAATTGAAAAGATAAATTGATCAAAACATATTCAACAATTATTAACATTCTACACATTTTCAACTATTCCAACTCATGAAAATATGTATTTTGATGGGATTTTTACAAATAAAATTGAGAAAATAAATAAATATTAAACAATTCATATCTCATAGGTACAATAGATAAATTTTCCAATAAGAAATAACAGCCCCAAAATGGAAACTTGGAAGAGTATCTTCCCACATAGATACAGATAAAGCACCCAAATCTCCCTGCATTTACAAGAATTTTCCAGGTAAAATCCTTTGAAGAATTCATGGAAAGGAAAGAGAGAGAGGTGAGTTGACTTCAAGACCATCATCTCAACCAACAACCTTCATTTATTTGATTCTTTCTAAACAATTTATTTTTTATTTTTTAATCTCTCATCATTCCCATTTTGAGTAATTCATATTCCACGAGAAAGGACCAAGTCCCTTAAGACGTGATGCCTTGGACAAGGACAGTTGCCTCCCACCATTTGTCTTCTCCTTCAACGTAGGACCCTTTCACACCTAAAAACAAATATTAAAGGACTCATGGTAATATATCATGAAACATAGAAGAAGAGCTAAAAAACAAGATTCCAATTGAAAATATACATAGAAGAAGAGCTAAAAAACTATATTCCAATAAACCAACTGGGGAAATTGATATAAAATGCAAAGAAACACGGTGTCATCCAGGTAGGACTGATTAAAATATTGGACTTGAGAGAGGGCTAGTGAAGTGGCAAGTGCTGTATAAGGGGCAAGCCTTGAGCACATTAGCATCCAACTATCCAAAAACAGTGAGGAGTGTTGGAGTTGTAGTTCTCTTTGTGAAGTAAAAGAGTGGTGATGGAATTGGTGGCGCCACTATCATGGTGCCAAAAATGGGGAGCCATTATTGGCCCCACCTGTCTTTTGCAGCCATTTTATGCTTCTTCTCGATCAATGTAGGGGCAATTAAGCTTGACCCATATATCTACTCTTCTCCACCACCTCGTTATGTCTACAGGTCTCCACCACCACCTCCTTATGTCTATAGGTCCCTGCCACCACCTTCACCATAACCACCGCCTCCATACGTTACAAGTCTCCACCACCACCTTCACCGCCGCCTCCTTACATTTATAAGTCCCCACCACCACGTTCACCATCAACCCCACCTCCGTATGTCTACATATCTCCCCCCTCCGCCTTCACCATCACCATCACCATTCCTCCTCCTTACACATACAAGTCGCCACCACCCCCATCACCTTCACCACCTCATCCTTATGTGTACAAGTCTCCACCACCACCTTCTCCATCGCAACCTCCTCCTTATGTCTATAAGTCTCCACCTCCACCTCCACCTTCACCATCACCACCACCTCTTTATGTCTACAAGTCTCCTCCACCACCATCACTATCACCTCCTCCTCCATATGTCTACAAATCACCTCCACCACCTTCAACCTCCTTTTGTTTATAAGTCTCCGCCCCCACCATCTCCATCTCCTCCTCCTCCTCCATATGGCTACAAATCACCTCCACCACCTGCACCTTCACCTCCACCAACTTATAAGCCTTATGTTTATAAGTCTCCACCCCCACCATCACCATCTCCATCTCCTCCTCCTCATGTTTACAAATCTTCCCCCCCCCCCTTCACCTTCACCACGACCTCCTTACGTTTACAAGTCTCCTCCACTACCTTCACGCTCACCTCCACCGCCTTATGTTTATAAGTCTTCACCCCCACCATCTCCATCTCCTCCTCCTCCTCCTCCTTATGTCTACAAATCTCCCCCACCACCTTCACCATCACGACCACCACCACCTCCTTACGTTTACAAGTCTCCACCACCACTTTCACCATCACCACCACCTCCTTATGTCTACAAGTCTCCTCCACCACCATCACCTCCTTCTTCTAATATCTATAAGTCTCCTTCACCACCGTCACCATCGCCACCTCTTGCTTATATTTACAAGTCTCCTTCACCGCCCTCTAAGCTTCCAACTCCCCTATATGTGTACAAGTCTCCACCACCACCACCATCATCATCACCTCCTTCTCCTTATTCTCCTTATGCCTACAAATCTCCACCACCACCCTATAAATCACCACCACCTCCTTATGTCTACAAGTCTCCACCACCACCTTCACTATCACCTCCCCCTCCATATACCTACAAGTCTCCACCTCCGCCCACTAAATCGCCAACACCATTCTATGTTTACAAATCTCCACCACCACCTTTGCCATCCCCACCACCTCATTACCACTACAAGTCCCCACCACCACCGGCCATTGTCTACTAGATGAAGAGAACATTTACTTCACTATTTATCCAAGTTTGATTGCTTACATTTAATGAATGAAATACCAAAATTGAAGACTTGGAGGTCTTGCTCAGAGTAATAAAATAATGGGCACCAGAAGAAAATTGAGGTGGTCTACTTGATAGTTCGATTTTATTAGCACGTGAAGAAAGGCTTATTGTTTCTTTTTTTGGATTCAAACAAAAATGTATGTTGTTTGGCCTTGTGAAGGATTTGGGGCATGGAGCCACGTAATTGTTCATTTATGAAAGGCTCTTCTTGCTCAAACAGGCAAAACTTCAGTTTTCATTTTTAAATAAAACATTGTTGCATTTTGTTAGTAATGAATCTGGCTATTACATTCATTCATTCTTGTGCCTACTATCATCATTTTCTTCTTCTTTTTTAGCATCCAAAATCTTATCTCATGCGCTACAGTGAAGCTCCATTAACTAAGAAAAAAAAAGAAGAAAAATTTATCAAATTACTTATAAGAGATGAATCATTCGATATTTTACTCGTTTATGTCTATTCCAACTTGAGAAAATGGATATTTTAAAATTAAATTAAAAGACATGAGTTAAAGGGTAAAGTTTATATAGAGCCGAGGCTCTAAACAATCAAATTAGAACCTGCCTCAAAAATTTCATTAGAAGAGGTTGTTTTGATGCCCAAATATCCTCAAATGGATCATCTCAACATAAAGATGCATGGATATAAGAAAAAAATGGATTTCAAGTTTTAGAAATCGTGCATCTTATAATGCATTCTTGGACTGTCAATTTTCAAGTTTTCATAGATCAGCTTGATCTACACTATTTTTGAACTTTAAATTTTATAATTAGAGATAAACATATATTTTAAGGTTATCACAAAGATTTTCAATGTTGAAACCACATTTCTCAACATTAGTTAAAGGTAGGCTCTACTTTGATCATTTAGAGTCTTGGCTCTATGCAAACCGCACCCAAAAGAAAATCTTGCAAATCTTTATATACTAAATGAACAATGATAAACATCAGAGAATATGGTTTAACTTAGATTCAAAAGCACATATCCTCTTACTTAGTCTGAATTTATGCGTTGTTCCCCCGTTGCTTGGCCTATTTTGTCAAAGGAAAAGTCTACTTAGTTATGGGGGAGAAAACTGTACACTTAGGGCACATTTTCATGTGAAAACATGAAAGAATTCATTCATGTGGTTCAGTGTGGGAATACATTCATATCAATTGATCTCAGTGCATATTTTTACACCAATTGAAAGTTAATTTGTGTGAAAACATTCCCACACCTGACTACAAAAAGAAATTTTCCAAGTGAAAATATTTTTATGTGAAACAAACATGCCCTTACTCGCTCAAACAAAAAACTACGTAGGATTACTTTCTGGATGCCAAGGTGTAATCACCTGCAAACAAATTGCAAATTGAAATTGCATCCTATAAATGCCTGAATAAATCCCGTCCCAAGAGTGAACACAGATCATCCATCTTTGGACAGTCAAGTCTAGGTGTATAGAAATTTATTCAGGTGGTCTTAGGGAATCCAAAATTTTAGATCGAACAAGTTCTCTTAGGTGGGTGTTTGCCCAAGGGGGCAAGTGTACAATTTGCTCCCTGGGGTACACAACATGGACCCTTATAAAATGTTTATTTTGAAGGTAACGCAATAAATGATAAGTTTCATACTTTGCCAGCAAATTGATTCTTGATTTCTTTTGAAGTTGTTTCCTCGGAGGAGTCCAAGCATGTCCTCACTTTCCCCAAAGTTCACTTTTTCGCAGTGTTTAAAACCCGGCAGTTTTCAATCGATCGGTAATCTGGATAGGGCACCGAACCGGTCTTAGGATGATATGGCCCCATCCCGTCCTCCCTAAAACTCCCTTTTCATTTTTTGCCCTTTTTTCAGTTGAAGTGTATCTCTTGGTCCTCTTGAAAGCCCACCTCATAAACCCTTATTTCAAAATTTATTTTATTTTATTTATTTATTATTATTTTTTGGATCATCATTTCTAACAATTCGAGAATGATCCGGATTGCCGATCTGGTTCACACGAATCCCATATCAAAATTTTTCAACTGTTAAATCACTTTTCCCTCTCGTTAAGTATGGCTGATTTCTTGAAACTTATCAGCTTGTGAATTTCTAAAGTTCTCCTAGAGATGAAACGTATTTAACATGAAATTACTAAGCCCTCTTGGTTCTAAGCATATCAAGCACTATTCCTATTCTTTTGTATCGTTCTTCAATTGCCAACTTCTCTAGAAGTGATGGTTGCTCTCCCATTTAACATAAAATCTAGAAATTAATTTTCATTTTTTGTTAACTTGAGAACATCAAAGAAACACTAAGAAAACAAAAGGCATATTTTTCTCAGGCTAACTTCTACATGTTTACATAGATGCATGCTTATGTGATTTTGTATGATTTTCGACCATCCTTGGTTTTATTTGTCCTGGTATTTATCTAGAACCATAGTCAAAATCACATCTTCTAGAAATCAAGCACACCTTCAATATAGTTTTTTAAATAACTACATAAAATGTAAAATGCGATATGTACAAAATCACCGATCCAAATCAGTGATATATGCACTAAATCACCAAGTTCAGTGACACAATTGGGCAGAGTAATTCTTGATTTTTTATTAGAATTAGCCCGAGTGCCTGATCTTAATAGGCGATAGCCGATTCAGATCGCTATTTTTTCAAACCCTGCTTAGAGTTCAGACGGTGACGGTTGCCCGCCACAATGCATCACCTTGTTCAAAGTAAGGGTCCCTCACAATATAAATAAATCACATATAAGGATTAGCGATAAAATATCATTAAAATGCATGCGACAATATTAAGAAAAACAAGGAAGTCCTAATAATCTGATATGGGAAATATATATTGGAAAATGGTTTTATAAGGTTGCAGTCCTATGAAAATAAGTAAAGCCTCATCTCATTATTCATCAAAAATTGCAATTTCAAGCATTGGAAAACCTTTACATCAATCATCTCGACTTGAACATTATGGTTGTGAAAATATTAGGATTTTAAGCTCTAAAAACAGTGTATATTGTCATGAATTATATAGTCCGTCCATTTCTCCCTAGAAATAAGTATTCACAGATCCACAAGATCTATACCTTTTTTGAGTTTTAAATATTATTGTTGGTATTGGAAATTGATTTTAGAGCCGTCATAGAGATTTTCGTTGTCGAAAGTGTTTTCCAGACAAGAATTTGAGGTGAGGCTTCATTTTATTTTCATTATGCCTAGATCTTATAGAAACTTCATCCATATATTGGATAAGTTTTGGTGTGCCAACCGACTCACCAAGACATATGTATGTCCTTGCGCAACAGACATCCCTCTTAGAGGTAGCATAAAAAAAGTAGTGGTTCTACCATCCATCAAAGTGGATGGTAGATATATATATATATATATATATATAGGGTGCGGTTTTTATAAGGTTGCAACCTTAAACAATCCAATTAAGGCACACCTTAAAATTTTATCATAATATGTAATTTAGTTGTAAAAAACTCTTAGTATTATCTTAAAATCTATTTCCATAACTAATTAGAAAATTTAAAATTCCAAAAATGGTTAAAATCAAGTAGATATATAAATATATGAAAATCTTGAAAATGGACGGTCTAGATAATGTCTTGCAAGATGCACTATTTTTGGGACTCAAAAACTTTGCTTTTTCATATTCATACGTCTCAATGTTGACATGATTGATTAGAGAGTTTTTTCAATATTAAAACAGCATTTTTGATAGATTTTTGAGGTGCATATGTGATTCTACATTTTAAGGTTGCAACCTTATATAAACTTTTCATATATATATATAAATTTTAATTTTAAAAATAAAATATTCCAAATTTATAGTCACCATGATAGTTGAGATTTATAAATCTTGGATCCAAAATCCATAATAGAGATGATTTTTGAAAGGGGGCTGCACATCTACAAATGAGTCTCGCTAACTCACCAAACACTTTTTCATATATATTTCGTTCACGTATATCAGCAGTTACTTTAAAATGCAGTCTCATTAATTGATTTTGATATAGTAAAAATCGATGGGTTTTTTCCTCTTTCCCCATAGTGTACGTTATCCAATCCTATGGGAAGAAACCTTTGTTTAAAAAATCGCCGACTTGAGCCGGATTCGCCCGGTTCGACTCAGAAATCGCTATAAAACGAGTCGAATCGGCACAAAAAACGGGAATCGCCCGTGTCCAGAGAGAACCGGGTGATTCCTCATAGTAGACTTGCGATTCTGTCCGAGTCCCAATAGTAGAATCGAGAGTCACCCGGAAGAACACGGGCTGAACAGTGTTCTTCACGGGATTTCAATATTTTTTGTCTTTTTTTGATTGATTTTCAACGTTTTCAACCTTATGAACGAATATTACAGGCTTTAATTCAAATTTCGAATCATTTTCACTCAATAAAACGAATAAAAAACCATTGATTTTTATGAACAAATTTGGTTCGCAGAGTGAGTTTTAGGGTTTTCGCCATTTCAGTGATTTCAATGAAAATAAAGCTTCATTTTTTGTAAAATTTCAGGCTGAGTGATTGTAAGAGTGTTGGTCAGAATTTTGTGTTCATAATTTGTGATTATCTTGGAGGAATACATATCAATTTTGAGTTTGAAGGCATGGATGCACGAAGAACAGGTAAAAACTCAGGTTTTTTTTTTTTTGTCCCCATGTGATCAAATCCAGTCGATATTTTACAAATCATGTATTAAATTTATAGGGTTTTGATGTCTTGTAGTGTTGTTTATCACTAGATATATTCAATTTGATTATATTTATTCAATTTGAGTTGGATTTTATAGAAAATAAGAGTGATGTCTGTTAACAAAATAGTGGACTGTTTTTTGATTTTTTTTTTCCCGCATTTTCACGATTTCAGTCGAAATAAAGCTTTATTTTTTGTAAAATTTCAGGCTGAGTAATTGTAAGAGTGTTGGTCAGAATTTTGTGTTCATAATTTGTGATTATCTTAGAGGAATACATATCAATTTTGAGTTTGAAGTCACGGATGCACGGAGAACAGGTAAAAACTCAGTTTTTTTTTTTTTTTCCCCATGCGATCAAATCCTGTCAATATTTTACTGTCAATATTTTACAAATCATGTATTGAATTTATAGGGTTTTGATTCTTTGTAGTGTTGTTTATCATTAGATATATTTATTTTAATTATATTTATCCAATTTGAGTTGGATTTTATAGAAAATAAGAGTGACGTCTGTTAAAAAAAAAGTGGACTG